TTGTCTGTACCTCCCATGTACCTCTCTGTGTCTTCCTCAGTGCCACCATGTTGATCACGCACATTTGGTGCATTGCCCTTCCCTTCATCCTGGTTCTTTCTTAAGGTAGTGAGATACCCTCCCCACTTCTGCCTCTGAGATGGCTCGTTTTAAGCCTAATGGGATATTAAAACTGACCAGTCCTACATTGTTGTTGTTATGTGCCGTCGAGTCGGCCCCGACTCATAGCGACCTCTCCTTGGGTTTCCGAGGCAGTATCACTACGGAAGTAGGATTGCCCAACCTTCCTTCCGAGGAGTGGCTGGTGAGTTTGAACCGCCAGCCGTCTGGTTAGCAGGCAAGTGTCTTAGCCACTCTGCTACCAGAGCTCCCAGTCCTACATTAGGGTTCCATATACCTTATTTCCATGGTCCCACCCACATAAGGGTGCCAACCCCTTATTTACATTATTAGCAAGTTATCCAGTCCTCTTGGTAATCCTCAAAAACAACAACAACAAAAAAAAAAAACTCACTGCCATCGAGTCGAATCCGACTCATAGCAACCCCTCTTGGGGTTTCTTTCCAAGGTGGTATCTCTACTGAAGTAGATTGCCCAATCTTCCTTCCAAGGAGTAACTGGTGGATTTGAACTGCCAGCCTTCTAGTTAGCAGTCAGATGCCTTAAGCACTATGCTACTAGAGCTCCTTGGTGATCCTCCAGCACCTTATATCTGCATAGTTCTACCTAGTCATTTGTGGGAATTACAAAGACTGGGTAGAAAGGCCATGTTAAGTAATTCACTGCACCGCACATATAAATACACAGATAGGTAATTACAAAATGCAGTAAGAGCTATAAGGGAAGATTACAGAATAATGTGAGTGAAACTAACTGGAACCTGCTGGTCATGGGAGTATCAGGGAACACTTCTCTGAGGCAGCGGTATTCAAATTGGGAAGAATGCATAGGAGTTAGGCAAGGAGCAGGGAACAGCGTTCAGACACATTACTATTACAGATTTTGAACATGTGTCTAGAAGCTGTTTCATTCTTCCCTGCTTTTGTGTGAATGACTTTGAATCAGCTTCTAACAGGACCTCTAGGGCAGAAGTCACATCCAAGCCTAAACATGGTTTCTGTTCTACCTGGAGACTGTTGGGTGTCAGGGACCCACTGAGGTACATGGCCCTAGTTACTCTCAGAGGGAAAGCATGGGTCCACTCCTCAATGTCATAGATCTTTCTGGTCAACAAATAGGGGCTTGACAGGAGGTGAGCCACGTAGATTGGGCTGGAAGTGCATCGAATCATCTGTCCTACTTTTCTAGTTCACTATATCTGGTCTCCTAGGAGCTCTGGTAGCATAGTGCCTAAGGCACTTAACTGCTAACCAGAAGGCTGGCGGTTCAAACCCACCAGCCACTCCTCGGAAGGAAGGTTGGGCAATCTACTTCCGTAGTGATATGCCTCGGAAACCCAAGGAGGGGTCGCTGTGAGTTGGATTTGACTCAAAGGCGGTGAGTATATCTGGTCTACTAGGGTTTAGAATAAGGGCAATGGTGGCAGCCTGTGCTGATTTAACCTAACTGGTAAATAGGTACCATTCTTAGGGTAGGGTAGGTGTCTTCCAGTAAAATGGGAAAAACAGACTCTAAAGGAAAAAACAGAAATATTTGACAGCATAAAAAATTTGATCTTTTTTTAATTAAAAAAATAATAAGTTAAAAGAGTAAGAAAAACTTTACATCTATGTTAGTCGTAACCTTAACATATAAATCAAAAACAAAACCACTGTCATTGAGTCAATTCCAACTCATAGCGATTTCTGTAGGGCAGAGTAGGACTGCCTCATAGGGTTTTCAAAGCTGTAAATCTTTACAGAAGCAGACTGCCTCATCTTTCTCCCGCAGAGCAGCTGGTGGGTTCAAACTGCCAACCTTTTCGTTAGCAGCTGAATGCTTTAACCACTATACCACCGGAGTTCCTGTAATAATATATAAAGAGCCCTTAAAAAAATCAGTAAGACCAGGTCACACATACCAGTAAAATTTAGGAAATCATATGAATTGGAAATTCATAAAAGAAATGCTGTATACAACCAGTAAGCACGTGGAAGAAGTTCAACCTTGTGAATAATTAAACGTTTATGAATTTAAACAATGGAGGAGTCTTGGGTAGCATAGTTAAGCACTCACCTACTAGCCAAAAGATTGGTGGTTAGAAACCGCCCAGAGGCACCTCAGAAGACAGGCCTGGTGAGCTGCTTCTGAAAGGTTATAGCCTTGAAAACCCTAGGGAGCAATTCTACTCTGCACACACGGGGTTGCCAAGTGTCAGAACTGACTCAACAGCAGCTAACAACAACAAAGTGCTGATCATTCCAAGCAGGGCCACAATAAGTGAACCGTGATTGAACGAGAGGAGAATGCAGAACAGAACTCAAATTCTTAAAAAGTCTAGACTTGCTGGACCAGTTGAGACCAGAGGACTCCCCGACACTGTGGATCTGAGACTCTTTCCACCTGGAACCGAAATTACCTCCTGAGAACACCTTTTAGCAAAATAACAGAGCAACACACAAAACAAAGGATATTACCCATGAAAATGGTGCTGTATTTAAAAAGAAAAGTCTATATGACACCAAAAGGTCACCAATTCTTCTAAAGATGAGATAAGATGAGAAAGGAGTAGGGAAACTAGAGTACCGGAAATGGAAAAAAACAGAACGCAAGGAAAGAATGTTGACTCATTGTGAAAAATGTAAATAATGTCACTGAACAAACTGTATAGAAATTGTCAAATGGAAACCTAATTTACTGTGTAAATTTTCACCAAAAACACAATAGAATATTCTTTTAAAAACAACTACAACGCTGCAGTTCTTGAGAATAAGGGCATACTCGTCCTGGTACAAGTACACCCTACACTGTTGATGAGACTGTTAAGTGGCATCACCTCCCAGAGAGCAGCCTCGCTGTGTATGTCAGACATCTTTAAAAATGTGTACTCAATTTGACCTAGCATTCCTGCTTCTTGGAATTGAAGGAATGAGACAAGTCTACCAAGATATATCATGATGATTAGTAAAATGTGTTAAAAACTGGAAAGAATTTAGATGTGCATAATGAAGGAGTGGTCAGATAAATCATGATTTATTTGTACAGGGAGTTGGTAGCTATTGCAAGTGATGCTGTAGAATATTGTCACACAGGGATGTTAATGGTGTGTGCCTGTTTGACTGCTTTATTTGTGTATATTTCATGTACCATAAAAATCACCTTAGTAATTTATTTTAGGTAGGAAGAAAGCTTACAAAAGATACTACAGTGCAGTTCAAATTTTTGTAATAATGAAAACTATGTGTAAGCATACACACACACACAAATGTACACATAGGAAAAGTCTGCCAGAATCTTCACAGGAATTAGATCTGGGTAGTAGGATTGTTTTTTGTTCGTTCTTGATTGCTGTCAAGTCACTTCCAACTCATGGCAACCCCATGTGTGAAGAGTAAAACCACTCCATAGGGTTTTCAAGGCTGTGACCTTTCGGAAGCCAATTGCCAGGCCTGTCTGCTGAGGCACCTCTGGGTGGCTTTCAGTTGCCAACCTTTCAGCTAGTAGTCGAGCACTTAACTGTTTGCTCCATCCAGGGACTCCTTGATATAAGATGATCGGTACATATTTTCTTTTTTTTCATACCTGCATTGTGTAATGTTTCTCTTGGCAATACCAGTTACTATTGTATGAGGAAAGGTTACAGAAGTTTGGGGTTCTATACTTCTTAGCCTGCTGCGGAAAGGTAAAGGCTATGCTCCTCGATGTGGCCATCAGGTGCCCTATATCTGGCCCTTGCCCCTCTCTCTGGGTCACTTCTTGCCACTCCCTGGCTTATGGAGAACACTGCAGTAACAAATGACTTGGAGTTTATTGCTTACATACTTAATGTTGCTATGTACCTTTGGTTGCCCAGTCCCTTGTGCTTGGAATGACCCTTTCTCTTGCCCAGCCCACTCCACTGCCAGTACCACCTCCTCAGTGATGTTTCCCTAAGCCCCTCACCCAGGCTGGACACCAGGCCTTCCTGGGCATCCCTGTGATCCTCTGCCTTCGTCTCCCTTGTGCCCCCACCCTGGGACTCTGCATTCCTGAGGTACTTGACTTTGGAGAGTTGAGAGGAGGAGAAACTCCTTTTCAGCCTTTGTCTTCCAAAATCTGGTTCCTGTGTCTACCTTTCATCTTACCCTTTGAGGAAATAGGGATAATCAGGCAGATCAGAACTCTCAGTGATCTCCAGTGCTGTCTTTAACTGTGTTCATTAAAGGGATATTTGAAAATCGGAGAGTGAGAATGGAACACCCATTAATAATCCTGCAGTGTTCTTCCACCTGAGAGAACCTGAGAGTCAAGGGGAGTTTGGGAGATGGGATCCTCCAGCCATAACTCAGATTTCATGGAGCTTAAGAATCTCCTGGGCTTCCTGTTTAACATGCCGTTTCCTGGGTCCCACTCCCCACCATTCTGCAGAGATGGGCTCAGTAGAGGTGAAGTGGGGGCCCAGGAATTGGCATCTCAGGCTATTTGGCTGTAGGCAGAGGGCAGGCCTCCCTTTGGGAGCGTTGGGCTCGGGTATACATGGAGCTCACTTTCTTCTGTCTCTACTGGTCTTTCTGGCTCCCATTTGGCTTTTGCATCTGCACAAAGCCCAGCTTCCTCCTCACTGCATCTGACAAGCACTTTTGAGTCAGGCTGTCTCCCCACCTCTGTAGCCAATGTGTGCTGCCTTGAAGTACATGCACTGTTAGCCCCTAATTAATCTCAAGTCAAGGAGTGTTGGTTCTTTGCCAGCGGGAACTATTATGCTTCTCTGGGAGGGGTAGGGAGGCGGTGATGGAAACAGCAGCAGCAGCTGGGTGATGCATCTCCAAGTCAGAAACTTGCAGCACCAAGCTAGTTAGCATAAGGAAACTCAATGACTTTCTCAGTGAGAAGGGACCTTTGTGTCTTGTCTAGAGCCGAGAATGAAGCGGAGAGCATCAGACAGAGGAGCTGGGGAAACGTCGGCCAGGGCAAAGGCGCTAGGAACTGGCATTTCGGGAAACAATGCAAAGAGAGCTGGACCGTTCATCCTTGGTAAGCTGCTGCTTGTTGGCGACTTGGTGGGCTGGGGTAGAAGCAGAGCACATTGGCTCACACAGTCTGACCTGCAGATGTTCCAGAGTGAGGTGCTGCGCCAGTCGTGTGGTCCTGGCCCTCTGCCTTCACCACTTTCAGTGGAGCATATCTATATCAGTGGGAGATCCAGGAGCCTTAGGTCATTCTGTACCAAGGCTTGTCGTTTTGCTTGTCATCACACCAGCCTTAGATCAGTCTCAACTGAAAGCTGGCCTCTGTCTCTTCTTCTCCACAGAGAGCTCCCAGGATGCCCAGTGTGCCCGGGAGAGGCACACAAGCTGTACTAAACCCCAAGATCCATTAGCCTGGGCATGTCTTTGATCACATTCTGGGACAGGGTGATTAACTTCACATAGCCTTTTGTAGAGCAACACTCCCCACTCGCCCCCACCCCTCAGTCAAACTTCTTGTAAAATTGGAACAGAAGTCCTGCAGAATTGGGTTTCATAGCAGGCCTAAGAGCAGGCCTAAGGAGAAGTAGGCCCTTTCTTTTCTTTTCTTTTTTTAATTGTGATTTGGGTGAAAGTTTACAGAACAAATTCACTTTCCATACAGCAGTTCACATATACTTTGTCTCATGACATTGACTACAATCTACCCCAATGCAACAGCTCCCATCCCACTTCCTCCCGATAGTTACCTCTTCCCTGTGTCCATCCCTCCATGCACTTCTGCCCCCCGAACTGTATCCCTGTGCATAAGCAGCCCTTCTTTCTCCCATGATTGTTCTCTCCAAGGAGTGTATCTTCCTCAGGTAAATGTTCAGTTCATATGCCTGTCTTTTGTTTGGCTGGAAGCCACAGGTATGGGTTCAATTCCAGACCTGAAAGACAGCTAGGGGACATAGTCTCAATGGTTCCACCAGGCTCTATCAGACCAGCAAACCTTCTACCTCCCCCTGTTTTTTCCCCCTCAAATGATTTTGAGTTTTGTTCCACATTGTTCTCCAGGATCTCCTACATAGATCCCCCTCTGAGTGGTTGACAGTGGTAGCCCGGCACAATCTAGTTCTTTTGGTCTCATAGTCATATAAGCTGCAGATCACATGGTATACCAGTTGCTAGGACTAATTGTTTCTGTGAATCTTTGGTTTTCTTCATTCTTTTTTCATCTGGACGATGAGAGACCCATCGTTGCATCTAGATGGCTGCTTGCAAGGTTTTAAGATCCCAGTCACTACTCGCCAAAGTAGGAGGTAGAACAATGTTCTGTGTAGTATCTTATGCCAGTTGAGCTTGATGTCCCCCAGCAGGCCCTTTCTGTGGACATCTGCAGTCCAGCAAGTCCACATTGCTTGTGGTCAGGGTTGGGGTGTTATGGGCTCTGAGGAACCCAGCTCTCTTGGTAGCTGGAGACTGGGTGTGAGTTTCACTTTGGGACAGTATCTTGGAATTATGGGCACAGGATAGTGACAGTGCCATTCATTCAGCATATAATTATAGTACCTATGTGTACCAGACTTGTGCTGTTTGCCAGAGATGAAACAGTGAATAAGTCAGTCAAAGTTGCTGCCCTCATGGAACTTAACATTCTCATTGAAAAAAGAAACAAGAAAGTAAACAAGATAACTGATGGTGATAAGTGCCTTGAAGGGAATAAACAAGGTGATGTGACAGTGGAAGGGCCTATAGATAGTATAGACTTCCCCTGTGAGGAAGAGACATGAGAGCTGACACCAAGGATGAGAAGGAGCCAGCCATGGGAGAAGCATTCCAGACAGAAGGAACACCAAGTACAGAAGCCCAGAGGCAGGAAAGGGTTTGATGTGTTGAAGGAGTTAAGAGGCCAGTGCAGCTGGAGTGTGATGAGTAGGGAAGACATTGGAAGTTAGAGAGATGGGCAGGAGCCAAATCAGGCAGGGCCTGGGGGGCCACAGAAAGGAGTTTGGGTTGCACAGTAAGAGCAGTGGATGCTGTGATGGGTTTTCAGCAGGGTGCAGCGCTGCTCTTACACTCTAGAAGTTGAGGTAAGATGCTGTCCAGGGCACTGAACTGTATGTATGCCAAAAGTACAGAAGTTCCCCGAAGCTGGGAAGCTCCATCAGAATCACTGGGAAGCTCTTAAAGCTCTGATTTCCTGGACCCTCATCCTGGGCTTTCTGATTGTGAGGGTCTAGGCTGCAGATTGGGATCCTTTGTTTTAACAAATGCTCCCCAGAGACTCCCACTTGCGCCCAGGCTTGAAAGTCACTCTGTGAGAAATGTACCGGCACAGGATTCAGGTGTGTCTCAGGCAGATGCACACACACCCCTTCCAGGTTTTGAGGGACCCTGAGAGCTCCATTAGGAGATTTGGGCGGTGGTGGTGGGGGGTTTGTCTGTCCAGTGGGTGGGAACTCTGGTGCCCTCTTGAAGAGAAGAGCTGGCCAAAAGACCAGGTGGTGACACAGTGCCCCAGTAGATGGGGCTTCTCAAAGGTAAGCTGTTCTCTGTGCCATAGGTCCCCGTCTGGGCAACTCACCGGTGCCCAGCATTGTGCAGTGTTTGGCGAGGAAAGATGGCACGGATGACTTCTATCAACTGAAGGTAAGTGGGGTACCAGGGGGGAGCTCAGGACCCAGCCCAGTGCCTCCCTTTCCTCCAGCTTCACGCCTGCATCACTTGTGAGCAAAAGTAGCACCATTTCTTCCTGTGAAGCAATCAAGTTCACACAGTCACGCTCTGAACAACTCCTGATTTCAAGATTGTCTGTGCATAAATCACATAGCATAAGTCACATAGCTGGCACAGTCAAAAAAACTGTTTCACCACGTGTGTGTGTTTGCAAGTGTTGCGTGGTAGAAAGTGAAGTTCCTGCTTCTGGTCTAGTCATTCTGCTTTGTAAAGTAAGGCTTTTTGTGTTTTGTGTTTTTTTTCATTTTGGCACTTTCCTAAAGATCCTTACCCTTGAGGAAAGGGGGGACCAAGGACTAGAAAGCCAAGAGGAGAGACAAGGCAAGATGCTGCTGCACACCGAGTACTCCCTGCTCTCCCTCCTCCACACGCAGGACGGTGTGGTCCACCACCACGGGCTCTTCCAGGTGAGCAGCAGAGCCACGGGCCCGCCCCTTCACCCCAGCATGACCAGCTCTGGACTGGCACTTTCCAGGGCCAAATCCATACTTGGCAGCTCAGGACGTGTGCCCCCTGGTGTTCCTGCCGTGCAGGGTATATCATTTCGTCCTGGGCGGGGCAGGTGGAGGTCGAGCTGAGGCCATGCTCCTGCTGCAGGGCTCCTGCTGTGATGATCACAGCCCGGCAGGAACATACACAGTTTGCATCTTTCAGCGACCAGGCTTTCTTTGAAAAGCTGCTTTTCCGAGAAAAAAGGAAAGCAGGAAGTCATTTAAAGATACATGGGCTTTTTCAGTGGCTCGGGCCCTCTAAGCTGTGTTGTCAGGAATTGTCCAGGCTGGGGCAGCAGGAAGGGAAATGGGCAGATTACCCAGGAAGCTGGGTAAGTACAGGCTTACTTATTACTTACTAATCTGTAGTGAACAGTTTTGCATAGGTTCGTCTGTTGTGAAACTATTCACTATAGATTAATAAGCAAGCACAAGTAAGCCTGTACTTACCTTACTCACTGGGTAATCTGACACTGGAGGAAGATGAAGAAGAGCTGGCATCTGGGGCCACCTGTAGATCTTCACGGTTGCATTGGTACGGCAGTCCTTTTGCCTGCCCAGGCATTCCAGTCTGTTCAGCAAGTGTCCCTGAGGTCCCATGCTGAGATGTTCCAGGTCCCTTAGGAAAGATGCTCATTAGCAACTTGGGCCCAAGAAAGAGCCAACCTTGGGGCAGAGCAGAAATCATGTCTCCAGAAATAAAGAATTGCGTTCAGAAGGATGGCGAGGCCTCGTGATCAGACTGGAGAGCAGCTAGGTTCTCCCAGTAGACAGTCACACGCTGGCCAGGACCGACTCTTGCCAAGGCAGACCTGCTGTTGGAGAGGCAGCATGGGGGCACACAAGCTTTGGAGCCAGATATCCTAGATTTGGGCTGACCTTTGGCAAGTCATTTCAGGTCTGCAAGCCTCAAGATTCCTCATCTGTAAAATGGGGACAGTGCTAATGGTACCTACCTCCAGGTGGTCAGGAAGGTGAATAAGAGTGTGTAAAGCACTGAGCTGCTGCTGGTACACAGTCCTCTTCATTGTTATTTCAGGTGATGAAAGCTCCTGTCTGTTTGATTTCCTAAAAACAAATGGAAAATGTCCCTACCCCCATACATATACCCCTAACCAAGGCCTTTATTCTTAGATTTGTGGTTAGAGGCAGCACCAGGTATCATGAAGCAAATCCCAAAATCAGAGTTTTCCTTAACTATAAAGTCAGATTGAGTGATTGTGATTTCTTAGTAATTCATCTATGATAGCTGGAAAATCTTGGGTTGGTATATGTCATTGTGGACAAAAGAACTTGGGTGCAGAAGTGTTTCTTGTGTATCATCTGTGTGCCAGACACTGGACTAACAGGGGAACAGAAGAGAGATGATCCTGCTCTTAAGGAGAAGTGCAGCTATTCAGTGCTCCAGAAATTCCCCAGAGGGCATGGGCATAACATCAAGGACCCCTTGAGCTGGCAGGGTAAAAGTCCCCAAGTTGTACTTGTTTTTTGTTACCTGAAATACCTTTTGAAGAAAACGGAGTCTAAAGCTTGCAGCGTAGTACCCACTCTCTGAGCTCTGACTTGCAGGACCTGTGCTGATCACTTGATGGGTTGTCTAGTTCACTCAGCAGCCTGTGAGGTAAGGACGGCAAGTTCCCTTTTACAGATGAGGACTGGAGAAGTGGAGAGGTTAACAAAGTGCCCCAGGTCCCACAGCTAGGACAAGGGGGAATGGGACCTGGACCAGCTGTCTGACTCCAGAGTGCATGCTCTTAATCCCTGCTCCATGGCTGCTCAGGAGTCCTGCTGCTGCGAGAAGAACAGTTATCTTAGACACATAGAACACTGTAATCCTTAGAACCTTCCAGAATTGACCTCTCTTCACCTCCACTCTCTTGACTATTGATTAGCAAAATGGCATTTACACTGGTGATCACTGGAATCCCTGGGAGGGCCATGAGGGGAAGTTTGTTGCCTGCGCACTAGGCCAAAGCAGCCTTTGGCTTTAAATGCCCAGCCCTGATCCGAAGCCTTTGGATTATGATCAGAGTATTAAGCCTAATGAACAGACATCTTAACCTGTGTCCCTCACTTTTAGGAACTGGGCTGATCCTCTGTCTGTGGGTTCTGGCTATCACTCTGAGGTGTCCAGAGCCTGGATCTGACCCTGTTGCTGGGTCTTGCACAAGACACCTAGAAAGCTGGCAATGATGACTGGTCCCTAAGGGCTTATACAGGGCTCTCTCGTGGGTCATGCATCCAATTCCAGGAGAGCACCCCAACCTCTGACCTTGGCCCTGCTCGGCCCACAGCCAAGTCCTGGTCTGCTTCCTTGCCTCCCAGGACCGTACCTGTGAGGTTGTTGAGGACACAGAATCCAGCCGAATGGTTAAGAAAATGAAAAAGCGCATCTGCCTTGTCCTTGACTGCCTTTGTGCACACGACTTCAGCGACAAGACTGCCGACCTGATCAACCTGCAGCACTATGTCATCAAAGAGAAGAGGCTCAGTGAGCGGGAGACTGTGGTCATCTTCTACGATGTGGTACGAGTGGTGGAAGCCCTGCACCAGGTGAGGCACTGCCCCTTGGACACGCCTGCGCACTCTGGCCCATGGTGTCCTGGGCCTTCCAATGATAGAGAGGCCTCCTGGCTCCACGTGTCTTGGAAAACCACCCTTCTTATTGCCACTCATGGAAAGTGGCTCTCTCCCACCCTCGCCCAGGTGTACCTTGCAGCTGGAAGTATCTGGATGAAATGTATACAGGTGAGGCTCAGTTCTGCAGGCCACAGCCCATGTTCCTGGAGGGGCCGATGGGCAGCCAGGCAGAGCCCAGCACAGTCATTCTCCATCAGCTGAGAAGTTTAACCGTAGTTTCCCAGCTTGGGCAATGACTGCAAGATACCTACTAGGGGCAGCCAGAGCATATCTGAGCTTTTTGTAGGATTGGGGATGTCAGAGACCGTGAGGTAAAGCTTAAGAATGCCTGGAAGAGGCCACAGCTCTCATAGCTTCTGAGGGCTGAGCCTGCAGAGCTTGGTTTCCAAAATCATGGCAGAGCTCATTTCTGACCCCCATATCCAGACAGATGCTTGATTTTTTTTCAGTGGATATTTGCTGAAGTGGAGGGGAAGGGTGGTTTTCCCCATTAGCGGCTGCTCTGAGGAGAGAAGGCTGAGACACTGCCCTGAGTGGAGCAGAGACTGACGGGGCTCCAGTTTCACCCCATTGATGAGGTGGTAGAATTGTCCTGATCTGTCTGCAGCTTACAAATCAAGGCACAGACCTAAAGAGACATACCATGTAGGCAGGCCCAGCCCCAGCTCTTTCCTTCGAGCTATAAGCCATATGCTTTTTAATGTGATTTATTTTATTTTTGTTGTTATTCTTGAGAATATTGCAGCAGAACATACGCAAATTCCACAATGTCTACACATACAGTTTAATGACATTGATTACATTCTTTGAGTTGTGTAACCATCCTCACCCTCCTTTTCTGAGTCATTCTTCCCCCATGAACATAAACTTGCTGCCCACAAGATTCCTATTTAATCTTTTGAGTTGCTGTTGTCAGTTTGATCCCATATAGATAGATCATAAAAGAGCACAGTGCTTAAGGCAGACATTGATTACTAGTTAAGCTTAACTGTTACTTAGTTTTAAGAAGACTTCAGGAAATATATTTGGTTTAAGGTTTAAAGTTTAAAGATTGTCTCAGATGGCTCTAGAAAGTTTGGAGACTATGAGAGTGTAAAATTCTGTTCTGCATTTCCCTCTTTTGATCAGGATTCTTTTATGGAATCTTTGATCAAAATCAAACCATATGCTTTTTGTTTTCCAGAAAAACATCGTGCACAGAGACCTGAAGCTTGGGAACATGGTGCTCAATAAGAGGTAGGATTTGCTTGTCTTCTTTCCAGGTGTAACCTTGGGCTGCGGCATGTTACAGATTGTAACTACCCAATGCCCTGCAGTGTCCCCAGGGGGCCTTTGACTCCAGAAGCCCACTTCTTCCAGGAATCCCAGGGACTAGGGGGTGGGGATGCTGGCTTCTGCTTGCCACATGAGAATATGGTGCTTGCTAAGAATGGATGTCTTGGAGGCCACACAGAGAGAGGAAATTCTGGGTAGGATCTCAGAGCTCTTTCTGGTTTGTGTGTTTGTCGTGCCTGGCTCCTGGTAAGGGCTCAGTAAGTGACTATAAAAATGGACAGGTTGGTGAAGGCATTATAGCTGAGCAAAATGAGGCCTTGTCGTTGGTTGGATTCCATAGAAATAGTCCCTGAGGTTTGTGTGTAGGATGCTGACTGGGATGCTGTCAAGGACAAGGGAGTAGAACTAGGCAGGGGAGGAGCTGAACCTTAATGCAGCCACAGCAGGGCCTCAGCTGGAAGAGCTTGAAGCTGGGAGCCCTTCAGAGCCATTGCAAATTGAGGCAAAGGGCCTGGCCTCTATACCCCACAGCCACCTGTCACTGGGTATGGGCTGTCCTCAGGGAGAGGTATATAATCTTAGGCAAGGCAGCTTCTTCTGACAGGGGCACTTCCAAGAGGGACACTGCTACAAGTGACCCTTGATCCAAGGCCAACACTCCCAGCAGCAGGGGCAAGAGTGGCTTGGTCCTGGATGCCTGAGTGGCTCACCCAGCAGCCTCAGTGAACCAGGGGCAGAGAGAGATGACTTGAGGCCCCTGACTCAGGCCTTTACCCACCTAACAGAGGGTTTGGGGCCCTTCAGATCAATAGGAGAGAGGCACCAACCATGGAGGGGCCCAGGATTGACAGGAAGAGGAACCAGCCCTGAAAATGCAGAGCTGGGAAGTGTGCATCTCCCCTCACTGCCTCTCTCTGGCTTCCTTCAGTGTTCACCTCCCTCTCACCTCCATCTTGAAATGGGTCAGCAGGCTTACAACTGGAAAGCAGCACAAATCTTGTAGCAGAAGTGGTATTTGGGGCAATCTCGCCCATACTATGGTCATATTGTCCCCCACAGAGTGGACAAAACCAAATGGTCTCAGGGAAAGAAGCTGCAGGGAGGTAGGCCTCTTGACGGGAAAAGGGGCACCAGACCCCTTGGCTCCAAGAGGACGCTGCTGCCCTTAGCGACCCAGCCATCTCCTCCCCCCACTACTGGGGCTGGACACACAGAACCTTTCAGCCATGGCCTGTAACCCCTGATGAGAAAACAAATGTCACTGTCTGGAGGACTGGAGGCACACGGAAGAGGGCAGTGACCAACCATCAAAGTTGATTCATGAAGCTTGAGGGAAAACTGCCAGCCTGAGAAAGTGATGGAATGATAGCCTCCCCTGGCAAGGAGGAGGGAAGGCTGGCAGGAAATCCCAGGGCTCTTGAACCCATGACTGGGTGCAGTGAGTGAGTTAAGGAAGACAGAGCATGCCCTCCGGAGTCAAAGATGGGTCATGTCCCGGCACTGCCTCTTAGTTATCTCAGACCACAAGACTCTGCTGGTTTGGTTATTTACTAATTGCTTAATTCATTCAGTAGATGTGTATTGCAACCATCTATGGGACCAAGTACTTCTCTGAGTTTCCATTTGCACATTGTGACAGCGGAGGTGATCATATCTCCCCGGCAAACTTGGCTTGATACGCGTATCAGTGGATGTGAAATTTCCTGGCAGGATCTGGCCCATCATCGGTGCACCCCAGTGCTAGACTAGCCAAGAACCAAAGGGTACTGTGGCCGACAGGCAGGAGGATTGGACCTGTATGCTCACTCCCCTCTGAGCATGAGGCCTGCTGCCTGCAGGGACGCCCAGGGAGGGGGCCCAACAGTGCACCCCAGCCTAGCCATGTAAGAGGAGGACAAGTGTTAAGAATGCTAAGCACCAAAGCCCTGAGTTTCAGAAAGCAGATGGTCTAACTGGTAGGAGACCTGGGTCCTGGCCCTGCCCCTGGCCCCCTGGGACCTTGGGCCAGTCACCACTCCACTCTTTATTACAGGCTCACTGCCCACAAAAGAGAAGGCACATTTATTGAGCACCCAAGTCTGTCTGACTGTAGAGCCCACGTACTCTCAGCTGGGTTGGAGGGGCTCCCGGCGCCTTTCATGGCAGCCATTCACTGTCTCTAAGCAAGCACCTAGAGGGTTGTTATGGGAACGTACAGGTGGGTGTGGGAGGGGTGCCTATGCTGCTAACCACACCAGGCCTCCAGGTCTCTATCTCACTGGTGCTTTGCTTCTGCTCTCACTTCTTCAAGACTCCTAGGTCCTGGGAATGTAGCTGGAGGTGGCACCTCTCTTGAGTAATGCCAGTGCCACTGTATCAGTTCTGTGTGTGAGTGTGCACGCACGTATGCATGTGTGTTGTCCTCATGTTTCAGAATGCTGAACCTCATTCAGACCCTTAATCTTGGGTACATTTCCTTTAATCTGCTAATCCTTCTTTTTGTGTCGTGGGGCAAAGGTCTGGCCACCATTTACTTGAGTCATGAGTGCTCTGGAAGGGGGCAGGGTGGTATGGGGCAGAGACCTGCACTGACCATGCAGAGCTTCACTCTCACCTGTGCTAGGTCAAGGGTCTGCCTGGAGTTGCTCCAACCCCTTCCTGGGCAGGCAGATGAGCTGGAGGCTTCTGCTGCTCAGCCATAGCACAGAGAGCTTCCAGAGAAGGAAACAAGCATTTGCAAGGCCACTGCAGTGACACATTTACCCTGCTTTGGAAAAAAAGAAAGGATTGAAATCTGAAATTCCCTGTTGAGGTTATATGAGGTTTGCTGTGGGTTCTCCTTCCTCCTTGTGTTTTGGGTAGACAAGTTGCATACCAGGTTCCTAGAAAAGGAGAAAAATACTGTGGTAGCCCAAAGGGCCATAGCTGAAGAGTGACTCACTCAGCAGAAACTGCTGACACACTTCTCCCTTCACCCCTTGCTGCCCTCGCCCCTCCTGTCTGAATGAGACTGGGGGTTCTAGGACTCCCAGAGAGCTGGGCATCATCCAGCTGATTTGGCCATGGTGGCAGGGCAGGGGTGCTGTCAAGCTTCAGAAAGCCAGTTCAGGAGGCCTCAGAGCTAACCACGTTGTTTTCTGTGGGAGACCCCAGGGTCCTCAGAGGAGCACAGTTGGCCAGGCCGCTCAGCCCTGCAGAGTTCCTGCTGTGTCCTGAGCTTGCCGGCCTCACCCCCTGGGCAGAGGGTTGACGAGCTGTGCCAGAGAATTGAGCTCAAAGCTCCATACGCACTAGCGTGTGCACTCCAGGGTCTGTTGTCACAACGTGGCACCTCTTTCTCCTGTCTCCAGAGATGCTTGCTTCCGAAGTCTCCTGCTCATAGCCTCTGCCACTGTGCCACCCATCTGAGAAGATAACACTGGATAGCAATTAGTGATCGGTTACTTTTTGCCAGGCACTGGTTTAAGTGGGGAGCTCTGGTGGCATAGTGCCTAAGGCAATTGACTGCTACCAGCCACTCCTCGGAAGGAAGGTTGGGCAATCTACTTCTGTAGTGATACTGCCTTGGAAACCCGAGGAGGGGCTGCTATGAGTCGGATCCAACTCCGCGGCAGTGGGTTTGGTTTTGATTTTGGGGTTTAAGTGCTTTCGCTGGGATTATCTTATCTCATTAATTTGTAACACAGGGCCAGGAGTTAGGTGCTAATTTTTACAGATGAGCAAATTGAGACTTAGTGAGAGATTAAGTCACATGCCCAGGATCACACAGTAGGGAAGGGCAGGGCTGGGGCTGGAGCCAGACAGCCCACTTGACTCCTGAACCCACCACAGCCTTTCGCCTGAGCTGTCTTTCTCTCACTGTCTCACCTCAGATGCCCCCCACAGACCGCACATCCAACTGCAGTGGGGGAGGAAATGCACAGTGTATCTGCTCTGTGGGAACATCCAGACCAGAGGCCTAAGCAGTCCTCTGTTTGGGGCAAATGACATGGGAGCCTCAGCGCTTCGGGAATCCATGTCTAGACCTACATGTGATCTTGGGCCGAGTTCCTTTGCCTGTCCTCAGGCCCCAGCCACCCCAGGCCATCAGTCGTACTTCAGTAGCATCTGACAAGGCAGGCCTGTGTGGAGAGCTAGAGTCGATGTTTCCATTTGGAATTCAGAGGACAGACTGGCTTTTGTTTAGCACCAAGCTCTCTGCCAGCAAAATTCCCCAACATAGCTGAAGGGTGCTGGAGCCTCTTGGAGGCAGCTCCTGGGAAATTCCACCTCCTCTGTGTCACACATACTGCACCTCTGAGCTGACCCCTTCTCCAGCTGAGGCCCCTTGTGGTGCTTCCCTTCCTGCCATCCTCCTTGCTCCCTGCCCAGCTGACAAGGCTGGGGCAGGACAGCTGGCCTTCTCTTCTGTGGAGGGAGAGGTGCCCTTCCTCACTGGTCCCTCCCCTGAAAGAGTGTGGAGACCTTTCCCAGACCTTTCTTTGAGCTGCCTCTCCTAGACCCTACACACAGCACGCCGGGCCCACCAAGGGCTTAGAGGGCCAAACAACTCCATGGTCTCTGCACACCACGCCCCCCACTCCCCTCAGGCAAGTGTAAGGCCCCCTCTTGGAGTACCTCCTTCTGGTCACATTGTGAGCCTCCTAGAAAGGAGTTAAGCCCACAGCTGCTCTCCCCAGCGGCTCCCAGAGGTGGGGTGAAATGATTGATTTCTAGAGTGATTTTCTAGGTCAAGCAGAGTCTGAAGTGCAAGAAAAGGGATGAGTCAGCTTTAATGGGTCAGAAGGAACAGTCAGGAGCTAGGACACTGCTCAGGGACACATCTGGGACATCGGCAGGGGTCAGTCCAGCAGTGCAGGTTATAGGGTCATACTGACCTGGGCTTGGATCCTACTCCACCACACTAGCTGTGTGACTGTGGGCATGTCACTTCACTTCCTTGTGCCTTGTTGAATGACAATGAGATAGGGCAGTGATAAACTCTCCCTCACGGGATGCTGTGGGGATTAGGTGAAAATTTGCTCACATAGAGCACTTGGGCAGGGCCTGCACCTACTAAGTGCTCAGTGAGCATTCACTTTCAGTACATCAGTGATACCGACTGATGATAAGAGGGGGCAAAGTGACATCCAAGAGTGGACTCTCTCGTTTTGACTGTCCAGGAACAGGCCTGATAGCTCTGTGTGCCCCTGGGCTCCCCAGGTTGGTTATTTCCTCCAAAGCAAACTGAGCCTCACCTGCTTGCCTGCCTAGGACCTCCCTGAGCATGCCAGAGCATCCCCTGCTTGTGCCAAGGGCCTCCTGGGGAGCCTGGTCCTGGCTTGGCCTAAACAAACTCTCTGCACCTGCCTGGCCTGGCCCTTGGGGATCACATTCCTTACCTAACACTGGTGCTAGCAGCTCCAGCCCAGGCCCTGCTGCTCCAGATGAAGGTACCAAGTAATAGATACCAAAAAGCTTGCAGCCATGCTGCAAGTGTAAACTCCTCATCACGTTCTCTCTGTCATGTGACCCTACAGTGTGTTAAGTCACATCCTTGACTGTGGTCTGGCCTCAGCTTCGTCACCTGCCACCCAGCCTGCAAATGTGTGCCAGGGTCTCTTAAGCTAGGCCTGACCGGAGGGGTGGCCTCACTAGTCACCCAGGTTTGTTGATCCATCAATAGCAGAGACTGTTCTCGGGAATGCTTCTTGCTGAGCTTTCCACCAGAGCACAGCAGTGGGAGCCCTGGAGCTTTTCTGGAGGTCACCCAGGTAGGTCAGGAAGTAGGGGTGGCTGCTGGGTAAAGCACTGCGGCAGAACCTGGCTGAATGCTGGCTACACTCATAAGTCATGTGAGAAAGACCCCCTAGCTCTTGCCATGCCCCAGAGACTTTTAGGGTGGGTTACAGGGCTTACATCATGCCAACAATCATGAGGATGGTATAGGACTGGGCACCATTTGATTCTGTTGTACGTAAGATCACCAGGAGTGTAAGCCGACTTGATGGCAACTAACGACAACAAATAAATGATCAAACCAGGATTCAGACTCAGGTGTGTCTGGTTCCCCTGCCTGTGCTTAAGCACTAACTGTCAAAGTCTCTACCTGGTAGAAAAGTGTGGTGGGTGACAGCACAGGCTCTAAATCCAGACTACTGCTCAACTCCTTTCTAGATGTTGTTAGGTGCCATCAAGTTGATTCTGACTCATAGCGACCCTTTGTACAAGAGAATGAAACACTGCCCAATTCTATGCCAGCCTCACAATCCTTGCTATGCCTGAGCCCATTGTTGCAGCCACTGTGTCAGTTCATCTCGTTGAGGGTCCCCCATTTCCTCTAACTCTTCACTTTACCAAATGTGATGTCCTTCTCCAGGGACTGGTCCCTTCTGACCACTTGACAAAAGTGGGTGAGACAAAGTCTGGCCATTCTCACTTCTGAGGAGCATTCCGGCTGCACTTCTTCCAGTCCTTTCTAGTAGTATTCCTTTACCTCTCCGGGCTTCATTTTCCCAGTCTATAAAATTAGGCTAGTAATAGTACCTTCCTTGTAGGATTGCTGTGCAGGTTTCAGGAGTTAATGCCTGTGGAGATTGGAATGGCCCCTAGCATGCTGGAGGTACAGCTTTTAGTCTTAGGTATTATCTCACCTTTCTCATCCTCACTTGGGTCTCACTGTCATTCCTTAAAGTTTCTTAAAGTATGTGACACTTCTTCCTGACTCATGGCCTCTACAGGGGCTGTGTGTTTTTCCTGGGGTAGTCATCCCTCCTGTCTTTACCTTCCTGGTCCCTCTCACCCTTCAATTCAATGTCTGTCTAAACAAGCTGACCCCAGGGGCTGTGTTTCTGAGAAGGGCCCGTGGATAGTACCTGAACACCCAACTCCTCTGCTTTTCTCCCCAGTGAATATCTCTCTCAAAGAAAATATAACGGAACATACACGGCACATATACTACACGCATTCTGATTGAGATGGGCATATCTGTCTTTCCTAGGTAGACACCATGTCATTAATGTGCAGTAGGGAAAAGTCAGACTATAGACCCACATGCCGTGTGGCCCCCACGCTGCCTGATCACAAGCTGTGTGCCCTGGCATGCATGGGCAGGCCCTGGTGGTTGAATCTCACTGTATATATACCAGTTGAGTGCCCCTTGTCAGAAAGAGGAGAGAGTGGCTAAGGCTTTCTTGTTTTATTGACTGGTTCCACATGCTGACAGAGGTAATGCTATCCTGGAATTGCCCAGAAAAGTTCACAGGTCATCCTTCCAATACCAGCATCTCCCAAGCCTACAGCTGGGGTTTTGGAAAGACAGAAGGTGACCAAGGCTGGGTGTGCTATTGCTCTTAGGCTGTGACGTCTGTGCTGCTACCTTCCTCCCCCCTTGACCTCTGGGGGCCTGCAGGGCCTCAGGAAGTGCTGGATGACTCAAGCTCCTCTTCTCAGCCCCTGTGCTGTGCCTGGTCAGATGCCAGCTCCAAGGGTATGGTGTCCTGCAAAAACCCCAGGCCCCTGGAAATGATAGACTGTGTCAGCTGGGCCTTGTCTTCCTCTGTCTGGAGAGCACAGTGAAGGCTCAGCTTCCACACTCCTTCATCTTCCTCCTCAGGCCGCGGGGCCCTACAGGGTGTGGAAATGCATGCAGCAGGGCCAGGATTTCAGGGGTGAGGCTCAGCTGCAGCACCCCGTGGGACCTTGTGTGCTAGACTGACAGTTTAAACCCCCTCCCTTCCCAGGGAACTTGACCCAGCTTCTCTTAGTTTCCTCACCTGCAGGTTGTTGTAGGGAATAAGACACAGTGAGTCAAAAAGCACAGTCACACAGAGGAGGCCTGGGACCTGCCTTCTTACTTCATAATGTTGTGTGGGCATTTTTAAAGGTCACTGAACTCTGCTGGACTTCTTTTTCCTTTTGTGTAAATGAGGGACTTGAGCTAAATCTCTTAGTCGCTCCCACTCTAGGATATTGTGTGTGGTTTTGGGGAAATCTCTGAAAGATGTTCTAAGCTGTATCCTTTGAGACTCGACCAGGTAACAGCTTCAGGGAGCATCCCTGAAACACTCAATTGGGCAGGAGTGACTCAGGTCCCTGTCAGGACAGCTGAGCAGAGGCACACAGGGTGACTGCCTGTGGCCAGTGTGGGCCATGGGCCAAGGGCTGCTGGGAAGGCAGTGAGGGCCAGGGGAGCAGAAGAGGATGTGGGCACCATTCCTTTGTTCCTTGGATGAGGGGGTAAAACAGGGTGGACTGCTGGTTTACCCATTTAGGAGCAACCCAACTCCTTTTGTTCAAGATTGTCTGCACCTGTGGGTGCAGACACCAAAGTTTATCCACTCTCCCTCCTGCTCCCAGGACTCATCGGATAACCATTACCAACTTCTGTCTCGGGAAGCATCTTGTGAGCGAGGGGGACCTTCTGAAGGACCAGAGGGGGAGCCCTGCCTACATCAGTCCGGATGTGCTCAGCGGTATGTGCAGTGTGCCCATCTCCAGAGCAGTTAATTAATTCAACAAATTCTATCTACGAGTACTGGCTTTAGTGGTGCCCAAAACCGGTCCTGTCCCACCGTCTACAAAATGTATAGTCTGGTGAAGGAGGAAGACAGCAACCATCACACTAACGTGTTTGATTACTCCCTGACATAAGAGCTTGGAAGGAAAAGGACAGGATTTCTTTTTTTCTTTAATTGTGATTTGGGTGAAAGTTTACAGAGCAAATTCATTTTCCATATGGCATTTCATGCACATTTTATCTCATGGCATTGAGTACAATTCCCCACAGTGTAACAGCTCTCTTCCCACTTCCTTCCCGTAGTTACCTCTTCCCTGTGTCCTCCCCTCCCATGCATTCCCACCCCCAAGCTGTCTCCCTATGCAAACACTGCCCTTCTGTTGTGATGTGAATGTTCACCCTATGTGCCTGTTTATAGTTTGGCTGGAAGCCACAGGAGTGAGTTCAGTTCCAGACCTAAAGGGTAACTAGGGGCTATAGTCTCAGGGGTCTCACCAGGCTCTATAGACCAGTAAACCTGGTCATTTTTTTGTTTGTGAGTTTTGTTCCACGTGTCCTACATAGATCCCCCTCTGAGTGGTTGACAGTGGTAGCCGGGTACCATCTAGTTTTTCTGGTCTTATTTATAGTCGAACAGGCTGAGGATCACATGGTCTACCAGTCCCTTGGACTGATTGTTTCCATGTGTCTTTGATTTTCTTCATTCTTCTTTGCTCTGGATGAGAAGAGACCCATTGTTGCATCTAGATGGCTGCTTACAAGCTTTTAAGACCCCAGTCGCTACTCACCAAAGTAGTTTTTTTGTGTAATATGTTATGCCAGTAGAGCTTGCTGTCCCCACGACCATGGTCCTGAACCCACAGGTCCAACTACTCACTTCCTCTGGGTAGCTGACTGTGGCAGGAAGCCACCACAGCCTTGCCTCTTGTCAGCTTTGCTATACACCTGGACATTCTTACAGCACATACAAATACGCATGTAGAAACATTGTCTGCTAACCCTATACATGGTCATGGATAGGCACACTACCCCCTGCCTAGACATACCTGATCATTTAGCTTGTCCACCTATCTATCCATCCATATACCAATGCTTGTCATCACTGACAGTGCAGTACTGTACATGCAAAAGGGTTCATCTTTGTTGAAGGACAGGATTTCTGTGAGGTGTATAATGGGCACTTGAAGGGGTTCCCCAGGGAAGTGACATTTGAACTGAGACCCTAGGATAAATAGGAATCCACTAGGTGTATGTGATAGGCTGAGGCCGAGTGTTCCGAGGAAGGCATAGCACATTCAAGGAACTGGCAGAAGGTCCTTGTGACTGCTGCTCCAAAAATGAGCCTGCATCTGGGAAGGCTTGAGGGGTGGGCAGGGGCCTCCCACAAGGCCTCTCGTGGGCCCTGGTAAGGCAAGTCATCCTTTATTTCAAGTATATCAGGAAGCCACTGAACAGGTCTGAGATGAGCACCCAGAGGAGATTTGCATCTTGGAGATATCACTCTACTTACTTATTCTTTCAACCCTTATTTACTGAGGTCCTGCCATGGACCAGGCTCTGTGTTAGGCACTTTGGATACAGCAGTGAATAAATCAGATAAACAGCCCTGCCTTCATGAAGCTGTCTTAGTGGGGCATGAGACAGTTAATAGAATCAATAAGTGAGTTACATAGCTGTTACCTTCTGAACACTTCTGTGTACCAGGTACTGTGCTGAGCACCTGACACCATCTGTGTAAAACCACACAGCTGCTCTGGCAGGGAAACATTCTTAAACCTTACAGATGAGAAAACCAAGGTTCAGAGACATGAAATCTCTTGTCTGAAGTTCTGGCTCCTGGTAAACCAGAAAACTGAGCTCCAACCCAGGGCTGCCTGCCCCCCATTGCCCACACTCCTAACTGTTTCATGGGAAACTCTTTCTTTCCCCTTCCCTCTTTGTCCTTTGCCAAATTGGGATCCCTCTCATGCTGATCCCCTAGAGAGCTAGGGGCTTACGTCAACTCCCATCCCTCCATCACGGAGGTTTCAGAGTATCCCCAGGGCCTCTTATCCCCAACAACCATTTGTATCTTCTCCTCACAGCTGCTCCACGTCTTCCTGGGGAGCAAGCTGCTGAAACTTGCCACAGCAGCCCCCTTGGAGGCTTCTGCCAAAGAGTCAGGCCTCTCCCCAGGGCCACCCATGTATACAGGAAGGCCATGCCCCAGGCCTGGGGGTTTCGATTGGCATCACCATGAGTTCTGCTAGAGGGATCAGGGTGCCAGGAGTCCCACCTCAGCTCCTTGGCCACCACCCATCATGGCACAGCCCAGCCAGGACATCCTGATAATTCCTAGAAGCATCCCTGCAGGTGAAAGAGCCAGGCAGGTGAGCAGGCTCCTCCCGCAGACCTGTGAGACCAGGTCTGTGACTGTCTGCACAGCTACAGGCTAAGGGGACTGTCCAGTTTCAGGGGGCCTCCATGCGCAGTCTGGGAGGCCTCGAGGTTTTCCCTGCTGCTACCTGTGGCCTCTCTGGCTCGTCCAAGCTCATGTCAGTCTTGGAGGATGAAATAGAGGGAACCCACTGCAACAGAAAGAGCCCTGGACTGGGAGGCCAGAGGCCCAAGTTCTAATTCTACCCTTGCTACTTAACCAGCTGTGTAACCTTGATCTTTACCCCTCTTCTCTGAGCCTGTCTTTTTGCAGGTTAAAGGCTAGAAAGAGCCTTGCCTCCCTCCCCTCTTTAAGATGATGAGTGAGATGCTTGATGCAAGGCAGCACTCACTCTGGAGTCCTGCTCTCTGGGTTCAGATCTGCCATGTCGTTCATTTTCTGTGCCACACACAGCCTTAGGCATGGGACATGCCATTATGAAAAGACAGGTGGTCTTGGTTTTATAGTTTTAGTCTGGTTAATATATGTGCGACCTTTGGAAAGTTCCTGACTTCTGGGCCTCAAACATTCTCAACTCTAATATAGACATGATTGTAGCACCTACTTCATTAGATGCCTGTGGAACTTGATAAAGCCTTTTTTACCTAGTGTCCAGTTCAGTAAACAGTACCTGGCATTACTATTACTAAAAGGAGAATTTGAGGTTCAGTGTCCCTGAAAAGCCCAGGCTCCCCTGGGCTTTGAGGGCCAGGTCCCTGACCCAGTGAGAGCTCCTCACGGAGCTTGTCTAGTGAAGGGGCCTCCCAGCTCCTGTCCAGCTTAGAGCAGGAGTTCTGGGCCTGTTCTCTTGGGCTGGCTCAGACTAAGAGCACCACACCAGTGCTAGCAGCAGGGCCCTTTCTGTCTTGGGCATTTCAGCAGGCCCCTCCCTAGTTCCTGCAGTAGAGGAGGCACCGTATTTGGGGCCATACAGAGCAAAGGATGTCCACGCAAAGAATGGCCTCTGTATTGGTGATGCACCTGTCCTGCTGACTCCACTTAGTGAAGCACTTCTGGTAGAGAGGGGCTGGCCATGGGGTCAGCTGCACAAGGTCACCAAGCTGCTTCTGGCCACTGTGGGGCTGCATAGGGTTGAAGCAATGCAGCCTTGCGGAAAGCTCAGGGAGGCTCATCTTCACAAAGCTGCCTGTGGTAGCAGCCAGGTGGGGGCCACTCCTCACCACCGCCCTGTGTAGTAGGCATCATCATCCCCATTTGACAGAGGAATGATAGGCTCTGTGGTACCTTACAGAGGCAGAGCCAGAGCCTGTACCAGCCCCTCAGTGCCCAGGTATACACATCTATCCAGTCAAACTGCTTGACCATGGTGAGCATGACCGCCAGCTCCCCTTCTAGGACAGCAGTGTTGTAGGCCTTCAAACCAGGGGCCCTGTGCCAAAGGCATCTCCAGCCTGGGGGAGGGATCTTAGTTGCCCAAGTGCTACCTGGAACCCAAGGAGATGACACTGAGGTACCTGCCAGGATCTCCTTTGCACCTAGCACAGGGCTTGAGTTGTGTTCCTGGAACTCCTCAGGAGGACACTATCACAGTTGAAGCACTGTCACGGTGAAGCAGAGGCTTTGGAGTAGCTTGAGTTCTCATATTTCACATTTTGGGGTCAGGTCAGGCAGTGGCTGGCACATGACAGGTACTCGGTTACTGTTGGATCAGTGGGTGGGTCTCCCTCAATATGGGAAGAATGGAGCTTCTACAGTCATGTGGCTTACATACCGGCTCTAAGCACTTTCTAGTTATATGACCTGGGGCAAATAACCTAACATTCCCCTGCCTAGATTTCCTCTTTGGAATAATAGAGGAATGATCAGAGATTTAGTGAGACAAGTGGTGATTACAGTGCTGTCACAGTGAATGCTCAGTTAAAGGTCAGCTCCCTGCCATCTTACAGATAAGGAAACTAGCATGGCAAGGTTGACTGGATGTTCATTCCATTAGCAAATATTTATTGAGTCTCTCTGGGCTGGGATTCAACAGTGAGCAGAGGCTTCTAGTGAAGGAGATAGGAGATGGAGAGTAAGCACTAGACAAAAAGGGGCTCCTTCCACTTGTGCTAGGCACTGCGAGAGACACTGACAGGACGCTGCAGTAATGTGTGGGGATGGGGAGTACCTGACCTGTCCCAAGTCATTCTAAGTTCCATAAACATTTCTTAACTACCTAGTCGGCTAGAGGCCTGGCCATCGCCCCAGGCCCTGTCTCAAGGAGCTCATTGCCTAGAGCAGGTGGATAGTCCAGTGGAACAAAGCAGGGGCTGTGAGGAGGCATGGGGCCTATGGCAGGCAGGTGAGTTGCACAAGATCAAGTGTGATCCCTTCTTCTTGGAGGTCAGGAAAGGCATCACCATCATCCATATCACCCTGCTATGCCAGGTATCGAGCATGAGCAGGAGTCAAACTGACTAATAGTAGGGAGGCAACTGCAAAAACTCAGTGGCCTGAGACAGTGCACTTCACTCTGGGAAATGGAAACTGGATGACCAGAGTGAGGTGCAAGATGGAGGGGTCCCCTGGTGGGAGAGTTCCAGGCACATCGCTGCTAACCGCTTTCTTCCCTGCCACGGGTTGGGCTGAGCAGGCAGCTGGGCGCCTTGGGCTGAGTGTGTGTGTACATGCACCCCGCAGGCCGGCCATACCGGGGCAAGCCGAGTGACATGTGGGCCCTGGGCGTGGTGCTGTTCACCATGCTCTACGGCCAGTTCCCCTTCTACGACAGCATCCCACAGGAGCTCTTCCGGAAGATCAAGGCCGCCGAGTACACCATCCCTGAGTGAGTCTCTGCCTCCCCAGGGAGGGGAGGGTATCCCTGACCCTTTGGATATGAAAGGCTGAGAGCACCCAGCACTATCTCAACCTACCTGAGCCCTCTCCCTCTGCCTCTGCCTTTCTCAGGGATGGGCGCGTTTCTGAGAACACTGTGTGTCTCATCCGGAAACTGCTGGTCCTCGACCCCCAGCAGCGCCTGGCCGCCACTGATGTCCTGGAGGCCCTCAGTGCCATCATTGCATCTTGGTAAGTGGGCAGCACTGGCACGGGCACCAGGCTGGGTTCTAAGATGCTCTACCTATCCACAGACACTGGAAATCCTGCCCTGTTTCCTTGCCATATGGTCAGAATCCCGACTCCTCCCCCATGGGTCAGGTTGGGAGGCTACAGGACCCGTGTGCAGGGTCCATGCCAAGGATGAGGAGATGCATTACCTCACTGAGTTCTTAACCATAGCCAGACAGTAGAAATTGTCCCCCTCTGATGTTGGATGAGAACACTGAGGCCCAGAAATAATCAGTTATGCCGGGAAGAGGCTGAGCTCTACCAGACCAGGTCCGTCTGACTCCAGCCAAGTTTCGGAGCAGTGGACACCTGGCTTCTCTGGCCTTCTGCCAGCCAGGGCTGGGGAGCAGTAGCTTAGAGGTGTCCTAGCCAGCCTGACCCATCTGCATCCCTGCAGGCAGTCCCTGTCGTCTCTGAGTGGGCCTTTGCAGGTGGTCCCGGACATCGATGACCAAATGAGCAGTGCCGACAGCTCCCAGGAGGTGAGTTGGATGGGGCAGAAGGCCCTTACCCAAGACCTGAGAGAAGATAGGTAGGGCAGGGGCAGTAGCTCCCCAGCAGGCCATAGGGCCTCCTCTGCCATCTTCCCCAGCACTTGGAAAGAGGAAGAAAGACTTAAGTGCTCAGCCTGAGCCACCTGGGGCCTACATATGCCTGGCCCAGCCTGAGAGAAGGTTTTAGTACAGCTGAGATGAAAACTGGCACCTGGAAGGCCCCACAGCAGCCCACACTGGCCTTCTCTTAGCTTCCTGTTCCTGGCTTTGCCTGTGCTGGCCCTTTAATGGGTCACATTTCTCTGTCCCTGTGACTCATGGAGTTTTCTCTCACCCTTCCTGCTTTTCATTTTTCAGATGATTCATTTTCTCCCTTCCCCTGTTCCCTGCACTGGAGAAAGTGCTGGGCCAGAGTGGGAGCAGGAGACTGGGGCATTAGGTGGCAGCAGCAGCAGACGGGTGATCTTAGGTTGCCCCCTGGAGGGGAGGGCTTGGCCAAACCTGGGAGAGATGCTGAGTCCGGGATGCCGGAAGGGCTCCTGGCCCTCCCTGCAGTTGCACAGCAAGCACTGGCAGCAGCAGCAGCAGGAGCCATGCCTGCGATGGCAGCAGAGCCTCCTGCCCCTGGAGGAAAAGGAACCCCAGCCCCTAACTCTCCATCTCCCAGCCCATTTCCCACCACCCCTCCCCCATGCTGTTCTGCAACTAAAAATAATGATCACTAGTATGCAGTGAGTGCCTGCTCCCCATACCTCTCAGCCTGTCCGTGCTCCAGGCCGGTGTGGCCCTTATTCCTATTATACAAAAGGGGAAACTGAAGTTCAGAAAGGAAAAACAATTTGCCCACAGTCACACAGCTTGGAAGTGGTAGAGCTGAGCCTTGAACCCAAGTCTGAGTCCAGAGCCTTGCTTTTCCCTTCTGATCAGTGCAGGGACCTACCACTTCTGTTTCTATTACTGTCTGCCTGGGTCCTCTGTGGGGCCCCATATGTGTGTGGCCAAGATAAAGAAATAGCTGCCCAGGGGCTGAGTACCCCAGCACCAGGCCCTCCTCAAGCTCACAAGAACCTTTGTGAGGGCAGATGATTGCCTATTTCACAGGTAGGGAAGCGAAAGCTTTAGAGGTGGCATGACTTTTGCCAAGGTCAACACATTAAGAAGGGAGGGATTGTACCAACAACCAGAGCTAGGGGTCCGGAGTGACTGGAGGACGTCCAAGACCCCCTACGCAGCCACCCACCCCAGATTGGGCCCCAGGGGTGGGGATCCCAGGGAGGGAGGCCTCAGGGGCCAGGCCATTGGACACTCACTCTCTGCCCTTCTCCCTCGGTCTGTCTCTGCTGCTCTGATCTCTTTATCTCTGCTTGTCTCTCTCTCGGGTTCTCTCCATGATCCTCTTTGTCGCTTTCTCTCTGTTTGTATTTCTGTCTTTTCTCTTTCTACCCTCACCTCCCTCTGGGCCTCACAGGCGAAGGTGACAGAGGAGTGCTCCCAGTACGAGTTTGAGAACTACATGCGGCAGCAGCTGCTGTTGGCGGAGGAGAAGAGCTCCATCCACGAGGCCCGGAGCTGGGTGCCCAAGCGGCAGTTTGGCAGCGTGCCACCAGTGCGACGGCTGGGCCACGATGCACAACCCATAAACCCGCTGGACGCGGCCATCCTGGCACAGCGCTACCTACGGAAATAGCAGCCTCAGCCAGGGCCACCAGCACCACCTGCCGCCTCTCCCCTGCCCCCAACCCAAAGCCCAGCCATTGGGGCTGGATTCTCCCCCAGGCTGCGACAGGGACGGGGACAAGGATAGCCCAGGTCCTAGACAGGGTCAGCAGAGGTACCATGAGGCTACCTTTCGAAATGATTGCTTGTTGGGTTTTTAATTTGAGAAGCCTAGATAACTAATCTGCTTTTAATCATGACGTTTTAATCTACCTCTGTCTCTCTAACCGTGCTGTCTCTGGACTGAGTGAGGAGGAGGAGGAGGAAGCCCACTTGCCCAGCCAGGGGCCTGACCCAGCCCACCCAGCCCCGGGCAGCTGCTCCCCACAGTCCAAATAAGCTGAACACGCAGCTTGCTGCTGGCTCCCAAAATGATACCCACACCTCACTGTACTCCCAGGCCCCCATCCTCTATCTCCCTCCCTTCTTCCCTCCCTTCCCCCACTTCTGGCCCTAGAACCCTCCATCCAAGCTTTGGAAAACCTTCACCTCATCTTAAACTCAATTCAAATATATTTATTTTTTTACTGAAAGCAACTTCTCTCCCATCTCTAGGTGGCCCAGGCCGCTCCCTACCCCAGTTTGGCTGGGCAGCATGGGGTATCTGACCAAGCCCCACCCAGATGGGTTCCCCTCCTCACCCTCCAGGCCCTGAGAAGCCCCTTCTTGCCGGCCCACTCCACTCAGCTCACCAGTCCCTCTTCCTTTCCGGTGATGGGGAGGCCTTTCTAGACTTGGTTCTTTCTCCCCCCATCTCAGTAGCTTCTCTGAGGTGCTGTACACTTGCATTAACCCTGGTTTCCTTCTCCATCCTTCACCATGGTACCGAGGTAGCATTGAAATTACAATGTGAAATGGAGTCCCTGATGGCTGGGCTTGGGAGGGCTGCTCTGGGCTGCCAGGTGAGCTGGGTGGGGGCCCTGCTGCACACTCTCTTGCCCTCCCCCTACTCCCTTGTCCAGACAGCAGTGGGAGTGGCATCTCTCCTGCCCTTGCCTTGTAGTTGATATGGTGTCTCCCAGCAGACCCTGCCCAGAGTCCTTCATGGGAGGTGAGAGGCTCGTGGGGAGAACTGTAGGGACTAAAGGCCTCTGCCTTGCCTGGCTTGAGAACAGCCCTGCTGCCGTTTTTGAGCCAAGTTTTTTGAAGTGGATGCCCGTCTTGCCAGAAACGCTGTTCTCACCAGAATGCCCTCCTCTCTCCCTCACTGGACTTGGCCCTGCAGAGTGCCAAGCAAAGACTCTTTCCCAGAGGCCTACCCTCCCGTGCCCCCAACCACCTGGCAGGACCCTCCTGCCTGCCCTTGCTACCCAATAGGGAGGTGCCCAAGGCCCCAGTCCCCATGTTCCCAGAGTGTGAGCTACCCTGCCCCCTAAAGCTGACTCACTGTGAGTGACCTTGGGCAAGTTCCCAAACTTCCTTGTGCCTCAGTTTCCCCATCTGGAAAAAATGGGGCCACCTCTTGCCAGCAGTAGCAGGGCCACCCTTGCCCCTTCCTCCCCGTGATCCCATCCCACACTTGGGTGGCTTGTGCCTCTGCCTCAGTGGGTGTGGGGGAGCCTGCCTGGGCCTAGCACTTAGTCCCCTGAGCACTGAGCTCTCCCTCTGTCTCAGCCATCCAGCCGCTGAGAGCCAGGGTCTCGTGCAGGGTGGGGGGTGAGCAGGGGATGCCCTCTTTTCTATATTTATTTCAAAAAGAAAATTCTCCTAAGGGAATAGAAAGGCAGTCTGACCTAGGGCTTCTAGCCTATGTGACTCTCCTGTGAGAGCCTGAGACGGCCTTGGTCTGGCTCCATGAGCCCTTGTGCCAGCCGCCTTCTCAGACCCTCCAGGGCCTGCTTTCCATGTGTGGTCTTTCTCCTCCTCTTCAAAGCAATATCCTCTGGGTCTGCAAAGCCCTCTCAGACAGACTGGTCCCTTCCAAGGTTCACCCATGTGTCTGATTGCATTTCTGGCAATGCAAACGAGAGGAGGTTAGATCTGCCCTCATTGGCTGTCACATACTGAGTGAAGTCCTATTGTAAAGAAACAAAAACAAAATGGAAAAAGTCACAAAAAAGTTTGTATAAAGACATATTTTTGTACTACATGGGGACTCTTCCTGCATGTCAGCAATAAAACTTCCTGATCTGGAGCCACTGTGCCTGCATCATTCTCCCTTCTTGCCCCTCCATCTCTGGCCCCACCCAGCCCCGTCCCTCTCCCATCCCTGTCCCTCTCCCATCCCTGTGAGGTAGCCAGATTCCCAATTTGGATTCCTGTCGCCCTTTCCCCTGCAACCAGCCAGCAGGGGGCACCTGACTTCACTGTTTTGAATGGGGCAGGAGGACCAGACTACCCAGCATTCTCCCAGTCACTGGGCCAGCCTCCTGCTAAGTGCACCAAGTGGGAGCTCCCTACTTGGCTTGGCCCAGCTCCAGACCTCTATAGCTGGGAAATGGCCTCCCAGAGTGGCTGCAGCTGAAGAGTGTTGATCTTCTCTGGCAGCCAAACCCAAATCTGAGGCTGGGGGGAGGGGGTACCTGGCTAGGTAGAGACTACCCATCTGCCCACATATCCACTAGGGTACTGAGATAAAGAAAAGGGCCACGCCAGGCCTTTTCCTGCCCAGCCCTTCCTTCCATAGGACGCCAAGGGGCTTCCTTTCTTCCTTCGCCTAAATTTAGACTTTGCAGTCTGAGTTTTCTGGTTTTTATCTTAAAGTCAATTTGATTAGAAATTAATATTGCCACTCCTGCTTTTTTACGGCTGCCATTTGCTTGATACATCTTTTTCCAACCTTTGATTTTTAGTCTATTTTTGTCTTTGTGTCTAAGGTGTATCTCTTGTAGACAACATATTGATGGATTTTGTTTTCTTCTCCAGTCTGCAGCTCTCCATCTCTTGAGTGGTGCATTTAATCCATTAACATTCAGTGTAATTATTGACAAGTATGAATTGGTTGCTGTCATTTTGTTATGTGTTTTTCATGGTGTCCCTGGTTTCTTTGTTCCATATTATCTTCTGAGCTCTTTATGAATCATGTTATCATTTCCTTTGTTGCTGTTGTTTACTATGTGCTGAATATTTGTGCTTGTCTGCTTTTTTATTGTGATGTGAAGATTGGTCATTTTTCTTTCAGTTTACCCTATGATTTACAATTTTCTCCTCAAGTTTGGAATAGTCCATTCTATCTTGCAACTCTCTTGACTTCCTCACCATTTACAAGTTCTGTAACTACACAGTATTTTCCCTCTTTTTGATTTGTAGTTGTCCTCATTTGCCAATTAACGTCTCTGGTTCCGTTTACAATCTTGTAAGCTTATTTTACTTTGGATATGTCCATAGCTGTGGTTCTGGATTATGTCATCTTATGTATTAATGGTCGGTGGTTGTTTGCTATTTTTGGTTTTCTGTTCAAAGGACTCCCCTTAGTATCTCTTGTAAGGTTGGTCTGGTTTTAACAAATTCCCTTAGTTTCTGCTTATCTAGAAATCTCCTAATTTCACCATCATATGTGAGGGACAGTTTTGCCAGGTATATAATTCTTGGTTGAAAATTTTTTCTCTTTTAGGGTTTTATATATACCATCCCATTGCCTTCTCACTTGCATGGTTTCTTCTGGGAAATCAGAACTTAATGGTTGTCCTTTGTAAGTAACTTTTTGTTTTTCCCATGCTACTTTCAGAATTCTGTCTTTGTCTTTGGTTTTGATGAGTTTGATGATGATAGGTCTTGGTGATTTTTCTTTTGGGGTCTGTCCTGTTTGGGGTTTGTTGGACTTCCTGGATGGATATATTCTCCTCTTTCATCATATCAGGGAAGTTCTCCTCCAACAAATCTTGGACAGTTTTCTCAGTGGTTTTATTTTTCTCTTCCTGTTCTGGAATTCCAATGACATGTAGGTTATTCCTTTTGATGGTATCCC